TTTTTTTTTTTTTTTTGCAGATAACAAGCAACCAACTATGCAAGAATGGATAAATTAGAATAATATACCTGAGATTGTATGTATTCCATTAGTTCTTGCAACCTTGCAGCTTGTCGAGTATGAATGCCACTTGAATTCCTCTCCATAGCAGGTAATATTTCCTGAATTATCTGAAGATAACTCTGAGAAAGAGAAAGAGAGAGGGAGAGAGTTCACACACAGCAATTGGAAAACCATCAACAAGAAAATATAAGTAAAACACAATCATGAGGAACCTTTGTGGTATATGAACCATCAAGCTTAAGAATCGAGCCAACAGCTACCACTGTTTCTTTGTTTGCCCCCTTAATTTGAAGGTAAGAATTCGGGACATCTTGTAAATGATCAATCTCGACAAGAATCTACAAAAACAGAGATGAAATTTGTAAATGTGACACCATTTAAATATAAATGTCAAGCATAACAAAAAGAAAGCCGTCTTCAAACAGTTGAGTAAAAACCAGCATGCATCCTGGGCAGCATATGAATTAAAATTAACAAAAAAAGTAAGAAAATAAAAATACCTTTCCATTTTGGTAAATAGAAGCAGATGCTTCAATATACGCCACCGCTTGATACCTAAGATTATCAATTATACAACATATAAATCCTATTAAAGGCGGAAAAGAAACTTCAAGATCTTTACAGCACGTAAAATCCAGGAACTCGTTACGTTTTAAAATTTCTTGAAGAAAACAGAAATACAAAACTGGCAGTCAAGACTTTTTCATGTGAAATAAGGAAACTTTCATGTAAGATTTCTATACACGAAAAGTAACAATTGAAGAATCAGCACCCTGAACAATAAAATGTAATTATAACTCCATGCAAAGATAGTATGGAAAATTTCTAAAGATGGCATATAATGAGCCTAAGAAACTTTGCACAAAGATACATAAGTAAGTGAAAACAGAGTATTTGAAGCACCATCATATTTCTCACAATATTTGAACATACCCAAGATTAAGAAGGCCGGCTACTGTACAGATGCTGATATCAAAGTCCACTTTTGGCTGGATAATGAAGTTTCCTTCTGTAATAGGCTTCACGAGGGTCGAGGTGTGTGTTTTTCAAATTCATATCAATAACTTTCTCGAAGAAAATGCAAAATAAAAGAAAATAAAAAGAAATAATTTGGGTCCAGTCTATAAATCTACCTCTCTGATCAGTAGGGCAAATCTACCCTCACATATTCTCACTCTTATACAGTCACCCTCAGTCAGCTGTCCATTAGCAGGTATTCCAGAAAGTCTTAGATATATGTCGATGAAACTCTGAATGGAACTACATATCTTGGCTGGATCAAGAATTTTTAGGATATCTTGATAGGCAACCTGCCAAAGGAATTATAGCCCATCAAATTGAAAAATCCAAAATGCCAAAAATAATGCAGAGGAGAAGAAAGAATCAAACTCACTTGCTTATTACTTTTCAACACAAACAAAGAGCTCTCTGGTGAAAGAACAGGATCAAAGTCATTCCTGATCTTCAGCTGCATCAGTGTGGAGGCTCGTCAGATCGTAATGAAAATAATGCAGAACAACTCATTTTAAAATAAAAATAAAAAAAATACACTAAGATGTAGCAAAATTTGGAGTTATATGGTCAAATTCAATGAGAAACAAACATGGGCCTCAACAAGATGTGGTTCGATGTGTTGCTGGAACATTGGAAACACAGTCATCATAATTTCATTTTGTGACATGATGCATCCGACTCTACTTTTGTCTCTTTGAACCCGAGAAAGAAGATGCGAATGGACCCCACCAACCTGTCACGAGAAATTTGTTGCTTAACCAAGGTGCCACAAACTTGAGCCAAAAGGAAGTGAGTGTTATTGAAGTAATTAATTTGATGGATTCAAATGGCTTCATCATACTTACAACAGCAATCCACAAGTCCAGATGTTTTCTGATGTCAGGATGCAAAGCATAAATGCCTTCAAAAATTACCTGGTCAAAAGCGCAGTTTCCTTAGAAACTTAAAAAAAATCAGACACCAAACTAAGGATTACTTCAAAAGAAATTAAGAAACCATGTTTCTTCAAGGAAACATTTCAGTATAAGGCAGCATTCTTCTTCTTTTTTCCCCTTCTCTTTGTCTTAGTTTAATTTTTCAAATACTCCATTCAGGTCTTGAATTTTGAGTCTTTCTCATCACCGCCCAAATATTGCTTCTATTTCAAACCAGGGCCTTATTTTTTTTATATTGTTTTTCAATAGGGGAAATTACTATGAGGCTCCATTTGATTTTTTTTTTAAAGAAAAAGAAAGTAATTTGTTTCCCGGACTGAGGATTAAAATTAAAATTTGAGTCTTGATTAAAGAAAATGAACATGATTTAGGTTTCTATATGCATCTTCAGAATTTTTCATGTTCATGTCTGCCATATGAATCATCAACTCTCCTCCAGCATTATAGATATCTTTCTATGAGCGTATTTTCTTCATTAGTAAGCATGTAAACAAACAAATTTATCTGATAAGGTGGTGACACGCATTCCCAAGGCATACCACTCCGCAATCTTCAGATACTTCCAGCTCTTTGAAACCACTCCTTGCACCAGTCTCAAAATCGAATACGGGCACTTTTGTTCTTCGACAATTTTTTATGTCATCAATGTTCTACAATATTCAGAATCAGAATGACAACATAGTTAAAGGATGAAAAGGATATTAGTATCAGGAGCCAAGGAGGTAAGATCGAACTCATCAGTCCATGCTAAGATAAATCGGTATGCTTTCAAGACTTCTGATATTGAAACAACTTCAATGCCGTGAATGGAAGTTAAGAGACGAATATAATGGCAAAGGGTACTGCAAGCTACTTATAAGATAAACAAACTTCGACTGCTGTTTATATTATCTCTCCCCATGAGTAATAAGAAGATTATATGCCACAGAAACTTCCAAAAATGCAACAACAACAACAACAACATACCCAGTATATTCCCAACAAGTTGGGGTCTGGGGGGTCAGTTGTACGCAGACCTTACTCTTGTAATTATATAAGGAGGCTGTTTCCGTAGCGACCCAAGGTGCATTGTGCCGTTTGATATATTTTTTTTTTTTCTAGAAACTTCACTAATAGAAGAAGCACTAGAATTTAATTGAGCCATTTTGATCTATTCCATTATTAGCACTATGCCAGGAGAATTGTCAACAATGACTCTTCCAGGACAAAAATGCAAAAATAAAAATAAAAGAACAAACTTCCATCTCTCCTCGCATGATGCAATTTTCAACATGGTTTAGAATATACTACCATGAAAACAACCATATACGGAATGCAAATAAACTAACAACTGTCTTAAATTCAGAAAGGATATATCCTGATGAACCTATCATGGTTGGTGGCGTTGGACAATCACTTCAAGATCATTTGATGAGGTATGTAAACGTAGATAACATAAAATCATGGATGAGAATAGAAAATGAAAATAAAATTGAAAATAGAAAATGCGTACCTTAGATAGTAAAGCCAGATCAAGAGAGCTGAAATCATCGTGCTTAAAATCCTTCATTTGTTCAGATCTATAGTAACTCTCAAGAGATATGACTTCACAACCAACTATGTTTGCCATCTTACGAGCCAAACTTGTTTTTCCTGATCCACTCGGACCGCCTAAGTAGAGATCATGAGAACAATTAAAAATAACTGGAGTCAATTTCAAAAGTCAAAATACAAGGATTTTTGCTAATAACATATCAAAGGGCTTCAAATAAGAAAAATAACAGTAGTTACAAAAACTAACATTCACAAAATACTAAGGAATACACTCTGTGTAAACCCAAAGAGAGAGGGAAAAAAAAAAAAAAAAGATGTGTGGTTACTGGTACTACTCATTATCAGCAACCATAAAACATATGCATGTTCAAGAAAACGATGACCAACAGCAAAGTATTGCATCCTAAAGCACAAAATAGCGGCAACAGCCACAGACCAGCTCTGCCACAAAGATTAATTCGCCCAATTATCAGAGGCCACAATGCCAGATTGCTATATAACCTACATACGAGATTGCTCCATTTACTGAAAGAAAATCAGAAGCCCATATTCATTTAAGCAAAATATCACAGAATTCAAGCTTCAAGGTTTTCCTTATAAAATAAAAAGAGGAAACTATAGGGTAGGAAGCATGCCAAAACGGGTGGCGATAAATGAAATTACAGCATGATAAAACCACTTAAAAATACGAACTATTATAGATCAATTATGCCATGCAAATGTAATCAGGTACGAGCTAAAGTTCCTCCACAAATTATCTGGCTCTACAAAATAGATTAAACACGTCTGACTCTAATAGTTTAAGTCATAAGATAAGGTTAGCCTAGTTTGTAAGCACAACATTGAATCACGTTTTCACTACTCTGCTTCAATATAAGTTGTATGTCTAAATGAGAATTTTGACAAAAAATCAAATAAAAAAAATATCTTCGCTAACAGCCTATAACTCAGAAGTTCTACGTCTCATCTGAGTATTTCATTGTTCCTTAGAGGTGGCTATACACGTTTTTCTTCAACACACTTCAGTAAAATTGAATTGCTGCAAGAAGAGAATCACAATTTTGAGAGAGGGAGAGGGAGTTCATCTCACCAATTCCAACTATGACAGGGAGTCCCTTATTTTCCAACAACGCCTGCAGCAATAATCATAAACATTCAAGATCGGTCCATAAAGATATCGGCTTATGACTCGAACTCCAACATTAATCACTTTTCAAACAATATTTACTTGTATTGCTTGCACAGCCAGAAGCAATCCTCTGTCCAAGTCATACGAGTCGGGCATGGGGGCAAGCTGCATGGCATCCCTTGAAGGCGAGGAACCTGTGGTGGTTTCATGAGAAGAATTGGGTGCCATTCGGAACGTGATTTTTGCTCAGTACCAGCTGAAGAGACGTACCAGAGTCTGATGCATCATATAAAAGAGGATCTGTCGGGATAAATTGCCATGTCATGGAGACAGGTTCCATTTTGGACTTGGTTGGTGAACGAGTCCATGGCTGAGATAGGTCCTCTATCCGGTTGACCAGGTTCGAGGCTATGCGGAGGGGCTTTGGGGCTGCAATCAACCTTTCCTGACAGCTGGCAGCAGATGTACCAGATAAAGGTGGAGGGGTATTAAGCCTTGGGACCCCTGTAAGATACGGCGAGTAAGTGACATAAACTTCATTAGAAGACATTGGAAAGCTGATTTATAACTCAGGGCTTAAGTTTTCAAAATTCTACTCTGAGGCTCAAGTTCTATTTATTGCTTTTATAGTTTTATTCAAATCAGGAGTTCGGTTTTGTTTTCAATAATCAGTTCAACGCACAAATTACGAATGAAAGCTCATATGGAGCCCAAATTGAGAAACAGAAGCAAAAAGTTAGAACCCCAATTAACATGCATATTTAAAACTGTGCCCTGATTTAAAA